AGTGGTGGAGGGAGAAGCACTGGCCCCGGATGCCCCGGGAGTGGTACCGCTGCCAGGGGTTTGGGTATTTTGGGCCTCTAGATTAGCTTTCTGCAGTTCGACACTGGGGAACAGACATAAATTGTAAGAGGTCAGAGGGCAGGATGTCATCAGTTATGTGATATTTCAACACAGAGCAACAAAAAAAAAATTAAATAAACAAATGGATTCAGATGATAATTAATCGAGAAGTACAAAAATACAAATATTTTTTTTTTCAAACAATAAAAATAAATAAATACAAGACGAAAATAAAGACAGTAAATATAGAGGACCAGAGAGAAATAGACAAAAAAAGAGTAAAAAAAATATATAAAAAGAAAGAATAGAAAAAAAGGAAAAATTAATAAAAATATATGTATTATTATATATATGCAGAAAGAAATAATTATTGTAATGTGCAAATGTGATCTGGTCACGTGCGCTGGGGAGCGTGACGACGATTGTTGGGATTTGACGGTAAATAGGAAACGGCGTCACTTTATCACAAGCTGAGAATAATAATTTAAAAATATTCCAAAAATTTAATTCTCTTCAATCCTTTCTTTTTTCTAAATTATTATCTTCAGCTTGCGTGAATCGCTGAGAAAGTGACCAGGAGGCAAGGATGCGGCTCTTGAGACAATCGGAATAGGATTCTCTTTTTTCCAGTGACTGTTAAAAACTACCAAAGCATTTTTTTTTATTAACTTCATATCAGCAATTTCGCGAAATTTCAATTTATCCATTTTCTTTATATTGTTAAAAAGCCAGATCCCTGCCGTGCAAAAAAGTGGGAATTAAAGTAAATAAAGCATGATGTGCACTCTGCCGGAAAATTATAATCTGTCAAAAAACTAAAATAAACTAAAATAAAATTTTTTGAAGAAATGTTTTTTTTGCTTGTAAAAAAATGTTATGTTCAGTGTAAATAAAAGAAAGTAGAAAAAATGTTCTAAATGAATATTTAAAATTAAAATCATTGTGGATTGGACAGATTTTGTGATCGGACAGAGTGCAAGTCATGCAATTGGGAGTGCTGGGACAATAATGTAATTATAAGATGATAATAAAAGTTATGGTAAATAGAAATATCGGGATGATGGCGTTCATTCGCAGTTATGCAGTAGTAAATGTGAGTGACAATCTGGAATAAAATATATAATGGATTATAATTATAACGTGGATAGTGTGCTGTAGTATGGGAGTTGGTCCTTTTGCATTGTGAAATGATTGTAGGCGATTTTTTTTTCAAAGTGAATTTACATCTCTCTACAATATTCCCTCTCCTTCACTAGTATATTATATCTCTCTCTATATATGTACATTTGAATTTTACTCTTTGCAAAAATGAAAAATTAACCAGGAAGAAAGCGTATAAAAGATTATAGTAGAAAAATGTGTTATATATTCGAAATGGCGTGAATTCAATTATTGAAGAAAATATTTTCCAGTACTTTTTAATATTTCAACAAATATTTTTTAGTCATTTTGAATAGTTTAACAAATACTTTTTAATAATTTTGAATATTTTGACAAATATTTCTAAATATTTTTAAATATGTAAACAAATGTTTTCAATATTCTGACTAATATTTTTTAATATTTTATAATATTTCAACAAATGTTTTTTAATATTGTGACAAATATATTTTATAACAAATAGTAAAAATGTTTAATATTTGCTAACATTTGGAAGAGTACAATTTAATTTTTCAATGACAATGAAAACAAATATTTAATATCATCAATCTTCTTTATGGATTTTTGCTGATATTAAAAGTGTATTACCACAAAGCTGCGATTTTAGTTTTTACAAAGCTTTTTGTTTAATGTGCATTTTAAAGCAGTTGCTACAATTTTCTATTTACTTTAAATATTTTACTCTATGCCAATGAAAATTTATTTTTTAATTTTAAAATTATCTTAAAATATTAAAATAAAAAATTAAAAGCAAAATAAAAAAAAAACAAAACATAAAAATTAAAAAAAGAAAATCAAAAATTATAAACAAAATTGCCAATTTAAAAGCAAAATACAAAACTTAGGACAAAATTAAAAAATTAACGACAAAATCGAAAAGTTAAAATCAACATAAAATGTTAAAAACAAAATTGCGAATTAAAAGCAAAATAAAAAATTTAGGACCAAAATTAAAAAATTAACGACAAAATCAAAAAGTTAAAATCAACATAAAATATTAAAAACAAAATTACCGAATTAAAAACAAAATACAAAATTCAGGATAAAATTAATAAATTAAAGTCAAATTTAAAAATTAACGACAAAATCGAAAAATTAAAATTAAATTAAAAAAAGAAAGATAAATTTAACAATTCTTCTATATAAAAATGAGAAAAGAAAAAATTTGTGCAATTCGAGTTATAGCTATTTTTGTTCGTATCAAAATTCTACATACGATGTGTAATAAAGAAGCGATAAAGAAACAATAGAAAAAGCAACAAGAGGCCTCCAACGAAGGGAAACGATCCGGGAGGTTAATCTACAAGCTTTTTCCTTGCGATCAAGTTACGACCATTTTGTGTCAGGCCAAGATAAAACGAGCATTCAAAGAAAAAGTAGCCAGACACCTGTTCATCTCCCCAAGTTGATCGTCTCTTTTATTGCGATTTTCAGCCAACAATTACACTACTTTTCAATTATATAATTCCTGACAGTTTTTTTTATCACTGATTTTACTTGAAATACCTTATTTTCCACAAAAATTTAAAATTTAAAATCTTTAATGTACTTTTAAACTAAAAAAAAACAGTAAATTAAGATTAATTAAGAATTAAATTAACATTAAATTAAGATTTATTTTGACAAAATAAAAATTTTTATCGTACTTTAAATTAAAATTAAAATTTAATTTTTATTAAAAAGAAACAAGAATAAAAAAGAAAAATAGAGTTAAATTTTCTTTCTTCAAAAAATCAAACAATATTTGTTTATTTTTACTACTAAATATTTTTACACTCTTACAGACGAATATTTAAACGATTATTTTCTTTAAATCGTGAATTTGTATTCTTAAGAAGATTGATTCATTGGAAGCCTCTTGAGGGGAGAAACCAAACCAATAACAAAGAAAGAAAATTTGTCAAGTGTCGCTTGGGACAAATGTTTGGGTATTTTGTCTTAAAAGAGAGAAAAAAAGGGGAGAGAGAGAATATGTGTGAAAGAGAGACATGGAGAGAGAAACATCAAAGTCAGAAGTATATTTTAAAGACAATTAAACCCAAATAAAACAAAATTCACAATTTAATTAAATTGCAATTTTGCAAAATTGAAATATTGAAATATTGCAAAAGTTGCAAATTAAATATAAAAAAATCTGAAAATGTAAATTAATTTGAATCAATTTAATTTGATTCAATTTGATATAAATTAATTCGATATAAATTAATTTGACACAAATTAATTCGATAGAAATTAATTCGACATAAATTAATTTGATGTAAATTAATTCGATATAAATTAATTCGATACAAATTAATTTGATATAAATTATTCCGATATAAATTAATTTGACAAAAACTAATTAGATATGAATTTAATATAAATAGAAAATAATTTTAATTATTTGTTCTGCTTTTAAAAAAAAATGCAATAATTACAGTTCGTAATTTTATTGCAACAGAAAAAAATATTGACTAAGTGGATTAAAAACAACACTGAAAAAAATGAATACTTCTGACTTTGATATTGAACGTTTTATCACTTGAAAGGACAGCCAGCGGCATTTTTTTGGGAACAGATGTTGAAAACGGAGTTGAATCTGCAGGATACTCAAGGTTTACTGGACCTGGAAAGCAGGACCTGGAAACAAAGGATTAAGAATTTCATCCTCTTGAGTCACATTTAATGGACAATTTTTCTCGTTGCTTCGAAATTTTTCCATGCTGATGACACTTGCTTTTGGTTAGCTGCATTTTTTCATAACTTCTCTTCGGCTGTATTAGAATTCCATCTTGGCTTTCTAAAGAATCCTCACCTGCTTTATTTAATTTTAATTTAATTGGCATTCAAAATTGCCATTAACATTCGTCCTTTTTTCACACAACTGTTTACGTAAATTCATCTTCAATCAATGACAAAATTGACACTCGAGAGAAATGTCAAAAAAAAAAAAAATATTTTTCTGCAATCTAAAAAAAATTCTTAATCCGAACAAGTAAATAATTTTGTTATCAGTTATTTCACTAAAACAAAAAAAACAAGTAAATTATTTTGGGAATAAAATGATAAATAAAGAACTAAAGTTTCAATGAAAAAATAAATATTTGCCGATAGAAAAAAGCAAATATTTGATAATAGATTTAAAAAAAAAACAGAATTTCTCTCGACGTGTGTAAATCGTCAATAAATCACACGCAAAAATGAGACTAACTTTATATGATCGATTCGACGTGTTCTCTTCTACATTTTAACTATAGAAATATTAATTCATTCATATAGGAGATTAAAAGAGAAAAAATAAATTCAACAATTTGAAGAGATCACGTCGAGAATCACAAACGAGGGCGCACGCAATCTATTTTTCAAACACACTTTTATTATTCTTGGGAGAAGTAAAACAAAAAGAAAAGTCGTCGGTACATTTTGACATTTAAAATGAGATTTTGAATAAAAAAAAGAAATTTCAGAATATTGACATTATTGGGGGGGTAGTGTAGAGACGGAGCAGAAGTAGAAGGAGACATATACCTGTGCTTCGTTCTCTCAAAGGGGAGAACGAAAAACTTTGTTTGCATTTGAAAGCTGACCAACAGGAAAAATAGTGCAATTTCTGATTGTCAATTTTCAAAGTCAAAGTGATTTCGCAGAATGGAGAAAATATATTTATTTAAAAAAAAAAAAAAAAATACAAAACAGAAGAACAAAAAAAAGAAAGTATTTCTCTTATGTGGAAAAATAAGAAATTGAGTTTTGTTTTTTCTTTCTTTTTTTTCTAGATTTATATTTTTTAAAAGACTTACCTCATATTGATGAGATATTGTGCCAGCGCTACAGAATCTGGATTTCCAGTTATTGTGATCGTACGATCTGTAGCACCACCCTCTCTCTCCTCACAATTGCTGATTCTGATCATTGCTCCGGAGATTTGACGAATTTCAGCGATCTTGGTTCCAGCTTTTCCAATGATACAGCCAATCAATTCATTAGGCACAGTCATCTCGTGCGTTTGGTTGTTGGCTGCCGGCTGCTGTCTGTTTGTATTACTGGTCCGCAACTGACTTCCGGCCAAAGCCGCCAGCGCTGTGTTTGAAAAGAAAATTCAAATTTTAGTCAAAACGATTCAATATTGTCTTTAAAAATTAACAAAATAAAGAAATAAAATAAATAACTAAACAAATAACTAAATAACTAAATAACTAAATAAATAACTTAACAAATAACTAAATAAATAACTAAACAAATAACTAAATAAATAAAATAAAAAAATAAAATAAATAAATAAATATAATCCTTCCTCTATGAAGGAGCAAAAAAATTTATAAAACGAAAAAAAAACTCTTTTTTCTAATTAAAATTTCAGCGTATCAAAAATTGGAATTTTTCCAGTTGCTTATTAGTACTATGGAAGTTAAAAAGGATTTTTGTTTTCATTTCTGAAATAAAAAGTTTTTCCATTAATAATTATTACATTTTAAACTCAAACGAAGTGACACCGTGGTATATGAGAAAATGAAGAATTAAAAAAAGAATCGCTGAGTAATTTCATTCCTCATATAGGTCACACATTAATGAACAATAGAATATCAACAGAAAGAGGTCAATTCTATAAATGCTTTGGGGAAAAAAAATAATTGAATAAATCACTATATTCATAATTGAATAAATAATTATTTATTCAAATGAATAAATTATTTGTTCAATCCTAAAAATGATTTTCTAACAATTATGAAAATAACTATAATTTAAAAATAATAATTTATTCATCTAGGTAAAAGCGAATAATTTGAAAATAATAATGAAAAACAATAATTTAGTCAATTATGAAATGAACTATGAAAATTATGACAATAAAAAATTATTTTATCAAAATTAGGAGAATAAATATAATTATTTATTAAATTATTTTCATTAATTTGGTAAAATAATTTTACATAGTTGAATAAATAATTATTTCATTATAAAAATTTTTATTACAAAAATAAAAAATTATTTATTTAATTATGAAAAATTATTTTATCAAAGTTATGAAAATAAATAATATGAAAAAATTAATTTTCATTAAAAAATTTAATTATTGCATTCTATTAAAATTGTAAAAAATCATTTAATTCCTAGGAAGAATTTTATTTTTCATAAAAATAATTTAATTCTAGCGAAGAATTTATTAAAATTTTAGAAAATACAATTTTATTAAAAATTAAAAAAAAATAATTGAATCCTTTCGTAGAATTTTATTTTATTAAAATATTTTTATTAAAATTGTATTAAAAATAATTGAATTTCTGCAAAGAATTTTACTATTTATAAAAATAATTGAATTCTAGCGAAGAATTTTTTAAAATTGTAGAAAATAATTGAATTCTTTCGGAAAATTTTATTATTTATAAAAATAATTTAATTCTTGCAAATAATTTTAATATTTGTAAAAATAATTGAATTGTTTTGAAGAATTTATTAAAATTTTAGAAAATACAATTTTATTCAAAATTAAAAAAATTCTATTAATTTATATTAGAAAATAAAAAATTTTGTCAGATTTAGTAATTTGCACAATAATAAGTTGAATAAATAATTGTTCAATTATAAAAAAAAATTTCTATGAAAATTGTGAAAATAAATAATTTTTCATTCAATTATAAAAAATTGTTTTATGAAAATTCTGAAAATAAATAATAATTTATTCATTTATGAAAAATTATTTTACGAAAATTCTGAAAATAAACAATGATTTACTCAATAATGATTGTAAAATAAAAAAAAAGTAAAATTACGATTTTAGCTATTTAATTTATTGCTTAATTTTGATTCTATTTAGACGAAAAAATGAACTAAACGTGTAAAAAGTGAAGAAAATAATCTTACCAGCTGGATTAAGTCCACCAGTGTTAGCGGGTGTTGCTAAACCTCCAAGACCCAAGGCTGCTAATCCGGCTAAAGGACTACTTCCAAGTTTGCCCATCTGTAACAAATACGAACATGTCCACGGCTCAGCACACACCATTTAAGGTGGCTTTTAACAAAAATTTTTTAATTTTGAGGAAATTGACCTACATTATCCTGTCTGCTTTCTCGCTCGTCACTTATATTTAATTACTATTATCGACAACTAATTATGTGACACAATGAAAAAATTCTTAACTTTCATAAAAAAAAACCGTGACTGCATCGTTTTTCTCTCGCTCGTGTCGTCTCCCGATCGATAAAGGTTTAGCATTCTGTTTTAATAAGGCTATTTTTATTTTCAAACATAAAATAGAACTCTTGTAAAGATAGAATTTAATTTTTCAATACAAAAAAAAGAGAGTGAGAGAGAGAGAGAGAGTGGAAGAAATATCAGAGGTTAATTTCTTTTTGGATTGTAAAAAAATAAATTCTTTTTTTGTATGTAATAATATTAAACTTCAACTTCGAGACTTTTCTCGTTTCATCGAACCTTCAGAAAAAAGTTTCGATTGCCAGAGTCTCAGAAAGACAGGTACAAGGGAGAAACATTTACGATCCAAAGCAATCGGAAAACTTCTTTTAACAAGTGTGTTTCCTTTTCCTTTTAAGAACATTCGTTTAACGCTTAGCAATAATATTTCTTCCGGCCAATAACCATTTAATTCTATCTAGGAAAATTTATTTTTTCACTTTTCTTTCTTTTTTCTTCGTCACAAAAATTAATTTTATTTCGTACACTAAATTCTATTTCTCAATTTTTTTTTCAATTTTTCTTCTTTTTTCACAAAAATTTTTACGTTGGAAAAATTAAATACTTTGAAAAAGAATTCTTATTCTTAATTTTTTTTTATTATTTTAAAGAAAAAAAAACGAAAGTTTTTCTTTTTCACAAAAATTTTTACATTGGAAAAATTAATTTTATCTCCTAAAATAAATTCTTTCTCTCATTTTTTTTATTTTTTTTTTGTTTTTTGCATAAAAATTAGACCAAAAATTTTACGTTGGAAAAATTAATTTTATCTCGTAAAATAAATTCTTTCTCTCAATTTTTTTTATTTTTTTGTTTTCTTTTTTTTCATAAAAATTAGACCAAACATTTTACGTTGGAAAAATTAATTTTATTTCGTAAAATAAATTCTTTCTCTCAATTTTTTTATTTTTTGTTTTCTTTTTTTTTCATAAAAATTAGACCAAAAATTTTACGTTGGAAAAATTAATTTTATTTCGTGAAATAAATTCTTTTTCTCAATATTTTTATTTTGAAGAATTTTCTATTTTTTGTTTTCCTTTTTTTTGCATTAAAATTTTTACCTATGGAAAAATAAATTTTATTTCGTAAAATAAATTCTTTTTCTCAATTTCTTCCTATTATTTTAAACAATTTTCTTCTATTTTCATTTTTTCTTTTTCACAAAAATGTTTACGTTCGAAAAATTAATTTTATTTACCTAAAATAAATTCTTTCTTTTACTTTTTTATTTTAACCATTTATTTTTTAAAAAACAATTTTTTGATAATAATCTTTCACTTTCAAGTTTACTTCCAACGCTTTTAGTTCATTTTTTACTTTCAGCTTTGAATTCGAATTCTCTTTTCCAAGTTCTGTTCTTCCTTTTACGATGATTTCATTCGCAGGAAGATTATTTATAAATTTCATAAAAAAAGGAGGAAAAAAATATGACTCTGTCAATAATTTAAAAAAACATCAAGACTTGAAAATGCTACACAGTTTCGAGACCGCCATTAATAAAACAGATGCCCAGGTCGTCTCCTATACCCACGATTTTCGTTCTCGAGGATGCGAGCGAATTTTTCATTTATTTTCTCGGTTTTTGAATATACACATTATTAAATATAGCTATCACTCCGTTTTTGTCACTGAAGGAAAAAAAAGAATGAAATTCGCGCAGGAAAATTGAGTAAAAAATTTTATTTCTCTACTCGAGTTCTTGCTTACATTAACGACAGAGTTTTCTTTTTTTGGAAAAAAAAACGAAAAAAAATATTTCCCTAGAGAAAAAACGTGTTACTCATTCGGAACTGTCGTTTTAATGAAGTTTATAAAGACGACATTTAGTACCAACAGTAACTTTTATTTATAGGAGAAAAACATAGTATATTTTTTGAGTAAAAAAAAAAAATGATGGATAAAATACTTCGTTAAGTGTGTTTTACAGGAAAATTCCAGCTCATCTTCTGGCGATTATTTGGATCACTGGAGGAAACTGGCGAATGGATTTCAAGGGCCTTTAATATCTAGAGAAAAAATTTAATTTAATTTCAAGAATTTATAATCATAAATTAGCTCACATGATATTTTTTTGGAAAACTTGGCATTTTTTTTGTTACTCAATCGCAAATTTATCGTGTTTTTAAATTCTTTTTACTAATTTCTATTCATTTTACGTTTTTTCAGGTGAAAATGTATTTTTAATCTTTCAAAAAGGTCGAAGGTGACAAAAAAATTTTTTTAATTTAAACATCACAGAAAAAAAATTCGAAAAAAAACTGGAATGAATCTAAATTATTTGCTAAAACTAAAGACAGTTATAGACATTCAGATAATAAATTTTTCAAAACTGTACGAAACTTGATCTCCAACTTTCGGAGGAAAAAAATCCACACTTTTTTCTCATCTGGAAACTGAAACTGGTTTAAAATTACTTCAAATAATGCGAAAAAAAGAGTTATTAGATTTGACTTTCGGAAAAAAAGTTTAAATTAGATTTTTTTTTTTTTGGGAAAAAAGTCTTGAATTTTTCTTTTCTTTTTTTTTTGCAACGAAAGTTGAATCTATTTTGAAACGCGCGCAACTACATCGTGCGCGTTGCACTAAAAGTGGGCTATCGATCATTTGACTAAGCTTGGTCCTATGGACTCGTCAGCAGTTTTCAGTGATGCACGACCTCCGAATATACATACTTTTACTTGCGAACACGACTAAATATCGGTTAACCTGGAAATTCAATTTTCCATAAATTATTAAATAATTTCGATTCCATGTTATTGGAAAATATTAAAAATTTGAAATATTTATAGAAGAAAAAAAAAGAAAACACACTGGCAAGGAAAAAAGAAATTTTAATTTGTAAAGAATCATTCTATTGTATACGTTAATTATGAAACACGATCCTACTTTCTGAGTGAATGGTTAATTTTAATTAAAATTCAATGTTTCAAATTTTTTTTTCCCTTTTTGAAGTCGATCAAGTTCGAGATAATGGCAGAATAAATTTTATTTACAATTTTCTTTCAAATTTTTTTAAATTTTATAGAAAAAATAAAAATTTTCTTTCATTTTTTCATTTTAGATGTGAAAATAGAAATTTCCTTTAATTTTCTGAAAGTAGAAATAAAAATAAAATTTTTCTGCAATTTTCTAAAATTTTGTGAATAAAAATTAAATTTCATCTTTAAGTTTTGGAAATTTTATTAATAAACAAAATTTCCTTTAACTTTATCGAGTTTCTGAAATTAAAAAAATTACTTTCAAGTTTCGGAAATTTTAAAAATACAGAAAACGGAATTTTCCTTTAAGTTTCTGAAATTTAAAAAGTAAAAGTTAAATTATCTGAAATTTTAGAAATGAAAATAAAAATTTCTTTCACTTTTTTTTAATTTTAGAAATAAAAAAAAATTTCTTTCAAGTTTCTGAAATTTTAGAAGTAAAAGTTAAATTTTCTAAAATCTTAGAAAAGAAAAGAAAATTTTCATTAAATTTTTTTTAAATTTTAGAAATAAATAAAATTTCTTTCAACTTTCTGAAATTTTAGAAGTTAAAGTTAAATTTTCTGAAATTTTAGAAATGAAAATAAAATTTTCTTTCACTTTTTTGAAATTTTAGAAATAACAAAATTTTTTTTTCTAGTTTCTTAAATTTTAGAAATAAACAAAATTTCTTTCAACTTTCTGAAATTTTAGAAGTTAAAGTTAAATTTTCTGAAATTTTAGAAATGAAAATAAAATTTTCTTTCACTTTTTTGAAATTTTAGAAATGAAAAAAATTTTTTTTCAAGTTTCTGAAATTTTAAAAATGATGATAAAATTTTCCTTCAAGTTTCTAAAATTTAATAAATAAAAAAATTTTCCCTTCAATATTCTGAAATTGTTGAATAATTTAATTTTCCTCAAAGTTTATGAATGTTCAGAAATGAAAATAAAACACTCCTCCAATTTTTTTAAATTTCAGAAATGAAAATAGAATTTTCTCTTAACTTTGCTCGAAATTTCGTGGAAATGAAAAAAAAATGAAGCAACTGATTTTCAATAATTAACATATTCATAATAAATTCAAATATCTGAATAATATTCCATATACTCTCAATTGATTAAAAGCTTGAAACAATATACGAATGTTAGTTTAACTAATTAATTATTATTATATATTTGTAATAATATCAGATAAAATTGATGTGTAACAATAACTAAACTGATGTTTATACGTCAAGCTATTAAATGTTCATTTGTTAAATACAATACCTAACACAAATAATGATGTATGTATATATAAAAAAATATATATACATATATATATATAAAATTGTTTATTATGTACAGATATATAATTATTTATACATACATATTCAAATTGTATACATGTGTATATATCATGTGAGCCAATTATATAAAACCGACGATGAGAAATTTCCAATTATGAGAATATTTATTCTAAATAAATTATTAATTAATTAGAATTTCTTTCTGTGTTAAATATTTTTAATTATCGCGTTCAACAAAGCGAATTAAATTATTTTGTCAACAGAGACTTGAAATAGAAATTAATAATTTACTTTGCTTCTATATTTTAATTATGTATAGACTATATATATAGGAGCTTATTATGGGACGTGTCCCTAAAAAGAGTATAATTTACAAGATGTAAAATATAATAAAAGACTGATTGCTCGTTTACTTGTTTTTTTTTTTTTTTTTTTTGAATTTCACGGAAATGAGGTGAATGATAAAAGTGAAGGGAAAATATGAATCTAAAAAATCAAGAGATTTACAATTATTATC